GAGGTTTTTTGGAAAATGTCATTATTTTTTCTTGACTGAACTTGAAATTTTTGCAGTCAATTGAAAACATTTGCGCCTGAAAGTCCCGGAAAACTCATTGAAATCGCAGCAATTCTGGATTCTGGCCCACTTGGAACATGTTAGGCTTAAAATGAACGTTTTCATACAACTTCATCATCTGTTGAAAAAAATTCTAACTTCTAACTACGAGCGACTGGCAACTTAAAAATTTTCCAGTCTATAGCAAACATCCGAACTTTAAACACCTAAGATCTTTAAAACCGCACGGATTACTGATTTTTGCCAACTTGGTAAAGTTTGGGCTTAAAATGAGAGTTTTCGTGCATCGTTCGTTGAAAAATTTCGAACTTTAAATCAAGTGCCCAACGGAACTTGAAACTTTCGAAATCTGTCGAAAACATCTGAACCTCAAAGTAGTAGAAAATTTATTAAAACCGCACGGCTTCGTGATTTTTGCCGACTTCATAAATGTTGGGCTTAAGATGAAGGTTTTCGTACAACTGCATGATCCTATAAAAAAATTCATAATTTCAAATCAAGTGAGAGAGGCAACTTGAAACTTTCACAATTTATAGCAAACATTTGAGCTTCAAACTGGTGGAAACTTCGTTGAAACTACAACGAATACTGATTTTTGAAGACTTCGTAAATATTGGGCTTAAACTGAGATGTTTTATAAAAGTGAAGAAAATTCATTAAAGCCGCACGGTTTCGTGATTTTTGCCGACTTCATAAATGTTGGGCTTAAGATGAAGGTCTTTATACAATTGCATGATCCTTTGAAAAAATTCATAATTTCAAATCAAGTAAGAGACAACTTGAAATTTTCACAGTCAATAGGAAACATCTGAGCCTCAGACTCCTAGAAACTGCATTAAAGCTACAACGATTACAGATTGTAGCGGACTTTCTAAATATTGGGATTAAAATGAGCGGTTTTACAAAAGTGCATCGTCCGTTGAAAAAATTTCGAACTTTAAATCAAGTGCGCGACGGAACTTAAAACTTTCAAAATCTGTAGAAAACATCTGAACCTCGAAGTCGTAGAAAACTCATTAAAACCGCACGGCTTCGTGGTTTTTGCCGACTTGATAAATTTTGGGCTTAAGATGAAGGTTTTCGTACAACTGCATGATCCTTTAAAAAAATTCATAATTTCAAATCAAGTGAGAGACGCAACTTGAAACTTTCACAATTTATAGCAAACATTTGAGCTTCAAACAGGTAGAAACTTCGTTAAAACTACAACGATTACTGATTTTAGCGGACTCCGTAAATATTGGGCTTAAAATGAACGGTTTTACAAAAGTGCATCGTTCGTTGAAAAAATTTCGAACTTTAAATCAAGTGCGCGACGGACCTTGAAACTTTCAAAATCTGTAGAAAACATCTGAACCTCGAAGTCGTAGAAAACTCATTAAAACCGCACGGCTTCGTGGTTTTTGCCGACTTGATAAATTTTGGGCTTAAGATGAAGGTTTTCGTACAACTGCATGATCCT